TCAGAGTTCTTTTTAGCTAACAAAATACAGTAACTCTTATGAGTAGCATAGCCAAAAAAAAAGGCAAAGCGGGTAACTACATCAGTCCTATCAACCTGGCACCTCCAGATGGGTCGCAAATATTTCTCCTAAAATTCCTACCCAGCATGCTAACTGGAAAATCAGGAATACATCTGAAGAGCATTAGGTTGGAAAAAACACTAACCCATGTGCTGAGCAAGCCCCAGAGTGTGCAATGTACTCTGATGCACAATCTACCTCCACAGTGGGGCTCAAAAGGAGAAGAAGGGTACTCCATATCAAGAACAAAGGTCCAGATTTGTTCTCATTGCAGTTCCCTCAACTGCAAAGTGTTTTCCTTTCCCAGAAGCAATAACTGGTAGTCATTTATATATATGTGGAGGTAAATAAAAGAATATAGTAGAAATTATTATTGAATGAACAGTGAAACCTTGCACTGTTAACCTGACAAAAATATCACTCAGAATGAAATCTAACTGCTCCTGCAGTCAAGGAAGGAGACAGCAATCCATCCAGACAACACTGCCTGCCACCCATCTCCACATCTTATCATGTCAGCAGTATCTTCTATGAGCTACAACTGGAGCCACACAACCTTCTAGGCCCCAATGGCTTTGCTCAGAAAGCACAGGTTTTCTGAGAAATTCCAGAGAAAAAGAACAATTGTGTTTTATTGTGTACGTTATCCTGATAATGCCTGTATGATTATCATATATGAGATATTGTAAGAAAAAAGAAGAACAAGTGGATTCACAATAAGGTACTGCAAACGTTATCTATCTACTACACAATGAGCCTGAAGTAGACTGGTTGAGAGTTCTAATGGCCCTGCCTGTTACTTTTAGGGTTTCTGTACTCTAATGCCATACCTTGCCGATGTGATTTGCCTTTTTGTCTGTCCTGGGCTTTCCTGCTGAAGACTTTGTAAGCCTCTGTCTTCTGGTACTGCTCCAACTCCCTCATGTAGCGCTCCTTATCTCTGTCGGCTTCGTCAAGGTAGCGCTGCAACAAGAGAACAATCACTCCTCTGTTCTTGGTAAAGTGGGTGAGGAAGCCAGAAAGTTGAAATTCAGCCATCGTCTCTGGTTAACCAAAGAATGTGAAGGGGAGCTGAATACTAAGAGTTGGCATGGTAAAAAAGCAGCAGAGTTCCTTTTCGGTACCATCCATATGTCAACATCAACCCATAGTTAGGCACTTCATTCGTTGTTCCTCAGCTCTGACCCTCTCAGCTTCAGGATGTAGGCTGTTCCTATCATTTCCCGAATGCATAAAACAATCCTGCAAGTCTCCCTGTGGCCAGCCATGAGTAACTCAGAATAGATCGATTTGAGTACAGAGTACCTGTACCTCTGGCTTTATTAAAGGTTTAAACTACAGCTTCGGAACTCTTGGGATGGGAGATTGGCTGATCGATCGATTGATCCATACATCCCTGTGGGGTGCATAAAAAAGGAGAAGATGATTATCTACTGTTTCAC